CTTTCTAGATTTCCTTCTCTATAGTTACTTTCTTTAACTTTTTAAATGCTTATCTGTTTTTGAGAGAGAGCGAGACTGTGTGAGTGCGGGCAGGGCCGAGAGAGAGGGAGACAAGAATCCAAAGCAGCCTCCGGGCTCTGAGCCGTCAGCACAGAGCCCGACGTGGGACTCGAACTCATGAGAACTCGAACTCATGAGATCGTGACCTGAGTTGAAGTCAGACACTTACCCGACTGAGCCACTCAGGCGCCCCTGTGATATTTTATGTATACATCTATCTTTCTATGACATTATGGCTGTGATTGCCTCACACGTTTGTCTGCGCTCTCTGACCCTGAGAAGGTGAGGCACCCAGAGTTCCTAGCAGCGTGCACGCCGTAGAGTTCATTGATTTATACAGCAAACATTTGTTGCCCACGGTTCTCCTCAGGCACCATCCAGGTTCTGGGGATACAGTAGAGGAAAAACAGAAGGGAGCTTGCCTTTGGGACTGTGAACAAATGCATACATAAGGAAAAATCATGCGATGAATGAAAACCCCTGAACCACAATGAACCAAAGAAATGAGGGCGATGATCTCCTCTTGGCTTTGACTTTGGGGGGTGCTAAATTACCTTAGGAATTTCTGGTGAGAACCAGACTTTTGTATTACTGTAGTTTTCAAGGGAATTGCGTAACAGCCGTTCATTTTTTTCCTCCTGCTTTTAGCAAAGTCATTCTTCCTTAGTATTTGTTTCTCTATATGTGGACAGGTGGTTCTTAAAAGTATTCTCCCATCTCCATTAGACACATACCTTTACAAATGGCACTAAGTCTTTCTAGTTATAAAAATATTTCTGGAGGGTCGCCTGGGAGGCTCAGTCGGTCAAGTGCCCGACTCTTGATTTCAGCTCAGGTCACGATCTCACGGTTTGTGAGTTCGAGCCCCGCGTTGGGCTCTGGGCTAACATCCTGGAGCCTGAAGCCTGCTTCAGGCTCTCTCTCTCTCTTCCTCCCCTGCTCGCTCTCTGTTTCTCTCTCAAAGATAAATAAAGATTTAAACAAACTTTTAACAAGAGAAAAAGAAAAAAATATATATGTTTGACTAGAAAAAAATCTGTTATTAACCAATATAGATACAATTCTGTGTGTCCTTATTTGGACAAAATTCTTTACCCGGTCAGCTGTATGATCATAATTCATTGTGTAAAAGGTATTTGCACGTATTTAAATGCATTCCTGTTTGGTGGGTGTCATTTCAGGATTCGCAGCTGGTCATAGAAGCTTACAAGTCCGGCTTTGAGCCTCCCGGGGACATTGAATTTGAGGATTACACTCAGCCGATGAAGCGCACTGTGTCAGATAACAGCCTCTCGAATTCCAGAGGAGAAGGCAAACCGGAGCTCAAATTTGGTGGCAAATCCAAAGGAAAGTTGTGGCCCTTCATCAAAAAAAATAAGGTACTGATGGTTGGACCCGGTGTGAAAGGAGTTTTATAAAGTGTGGCAATTTTTGACTTTCTCTGTTAAGCCTTTAAAAACAAACAAACAAGCAAAGAATTTTAAACAGAACGCAGAATGCACAGAAAGAAAAGCTAGTGAGCTGTTTTATTTTGAACCATCATTTCTCTTTGGTGGTGGAACCTTTGCCATGGCCATTTGTCTGACTTCCGATGCATTACCACTTTGTACCGTGTCGCCCACGCTAACCCTGACCTCTACTGACCTCTCGGCCATTTCCCATCATGCCTTTCACTGCTAAGTCTCCCAGACGCCCGGTCGCCTCGGCTGGGAGAGGGGTTACCGCGCAGAATTCCGATAACGATTTATCAGCAGATCTCATTGGAATCGCTTCCATGGGTTAATAACTCAGTGTTGAACTCGTGTTAACCTGTGTGCGTCCATGACCATTTTTTGCGTTTTCTTTTGATAGTGTGATGCGCAGGCGCATGGCCGCTCTAACCTGGGCGTCGGCTGTGGTCAAGGCCGCGTGACTGCTTTTGCCTCAGGATAACTTGCTATGTGCTTCGCCGAGGCTGTCGGGTCCTTCATTTTCTCCCCCCAAGCTCAGCTCTGTTAGCGTAGGCGGGTTAGAAGTCTTGGCCCTTCTGGCTCTAACGGGTTTGGCGTAACTAACCAGAAGCCCTAGTTTGCATGTGGAAAGTCTGCATGAGCTGCTGGTCAGATATCCCTTGGTCTTCTTTCGTTGCTTCTACTTACTAAAAACTTCCCCTTTCGTCACATGCCCCAGTGTTTTCTTTTGGACCATGGCCGGGATAGTCGATCGTTTTGCGTTGTACTTGCTTTGGATTTCCAATATGATTTGATGCTTATTTTTGTTTTGTGTCTTATCTTCTTGTTTCTGATTTTACTCTGTCACTGCTCCGTCTCTCACATGTAGCTTATGTCCCTTTTAACATCCCCCCATCAGCCTCCCCCTCCTCCCCCTGCCTCTGCCTTACCCACTGCTGTTCCCAACGGCCCCCAGTCTCCCAAGCAGCAAAAGGAACCCCTCTCCCATCGCTTCAACGAGTTCATGACCTCCAAACCCAAAATCCACTGCTTCAGGAGCCTAAAGCGTGGGGTAAGTTCCGCTCCGGAATCCTGTCTCTCTCGTGCGCTTGGGTTGTGTGTTTGGCTCTGCGTCACTTTATCTCGTTTGTGAGTTGAACCCGTTGTGTTTGCCCATAACGTGAAACCGTAAGGGCCTGTGATTCCTCATAGCTAGACAGAAGAACAACGATAGAAAGACGGGAGGAGGAAGGAGGAAGCAGAATGGACGGAAAGAAGAAGGGAAAGCCAGCCAGCCCGGGGCTCTGTGTGCCCTTGGCGCGTTTCGGAAGGACTTTTCTCCACTTCCCTTTGAAAACATCTAAGTCATTAATATTTTACCAAAAAAGGAAAACTTCGGTTCGCTCTCTGAAGCCAGTGGCAGACGAGATGAGGAATTGGAAGTCACTGTACGCTCAGAAAATACTTGCTTGTTAATTCCCAAAACCACCTGAGTGTCGCCGAGGCACTTCTCTCCGGGCTGAGCCTCAGGGTTCGGAGGGCGGAGATGTCATGAGTTTACAGTGGTTTCTTTTTTTTTTTTAATTTTTTTTTTTTTTTAACATTTATTTATTTTTGAGACAGAGAGACAGAGCATGAACGGGGGAGGATCAGAGAGAGAGAGGGAGACACAGAATCCAAAGCAGGCTCTGAGCTGTCAGCACAGAGCCTGACACGGGGCTCGAACTCACTGACTGAGATCATGACCTGAGCTGAAGTCGGACACTCAACCAACTGAGCCACCCAGGTGCCCCTAATGTTTATTTATTTTTGATAGAGACAGAGACAGAGCGTGAGCAGGGGTGGGGCGGAGAGAGAGGGAGACACAGAATCGGAAGCAGGCTCCAGGCTCTGAGCCATCATCCCAGAGCCCGACGCGGGGCTCGAACTCACGGACCGCGAGACCGTGACCTGAGCCGAAGTCGGACGCTCAACCGACTGAGCCACCCACGCGCCCCTACAGTGGTTTCTTTAGCTGTTTGGCTGAACTTAAGAGACTGATAAAATACCTGTTGACCAGAAGAGGCCAAACGCAGTATTTGTCTTTAAAGGGTGAAAGTAAGAAGCCGCTGACGTTTATCGAGCGCTTGTGATGTGCCAGACCCTGTTCTGTGTGCTCGTTTGCTTTTCCTTCAGCCGCCCTCCGAACCTAGGTACCGAGGTTTCCTTATCTTACTGGCGAGAAAACTAAGGCATAAAAAAAAGATGAACTTAGGAAGACGGCGAGCCAGAATGAAAGCCAGAGAGCCCGCTCGTCACACGCCGAGGTTTTGCGACATCCACATTCAGGGAGAATCTGGCACCACGCGGTTGACCCGCCAGTGGCGGTCATTTATACTCCAGTTTGCCACGCTGATTACCGTTGCCTGGCTTCACTCCCAGGGTCTTGTGGAGTTGATCCAGGAACCAAAAGTAGATACGAGTGTGGTTTACGGGAAAAGATTGGAATAGAGTCAGCCGTAGCCTCCCAGATAAATCTAACCGATCAGTGGACTCTAAGCCACACCCCCAATACTCTTCATGACCAATAACGAGTGAAGCGTGGCGATGAAGAGCAAACAGACACATAGCGCGGTGACGTATCCAGTAAAGGTCTTTTGTCCTGACCTTCGGGGATCGCCGTCCGGTGGCAGGGGGGTGTTGTTCTTGTACCGACATGATTTTTACTCTTCCCCTCCTTTGGGTAAAAAAGGAGTGTAAGTAAATAACAGCCAACTAAGTTGTTGCCTTTTAAAACAAGGGACAGCCCATCTGCTGAAATTGGAACGATACAGAGGGGATTAGCGTGGTCCCTGTGTGAGAGTGACACACAGAATCATGAAACGTTCCATTTTTTTAAATGTTTATTTATTTATTGTTGAGAGAGAGAGAGAGAGAGAGAGAGCGAGTGTGAGTACACGAGCGAGGGAGGGGCAGAGAGAGAGGGAGACGCAGAATCCAAAGGAGGCTCCAGGCTCCGAGCCGTCAGCATAGAGCCCGACGCGGGGCCCGAACCCACGAACCGCGAGACCATGACCTGAGCCGGAGTCGGACGTTTAACCGACCGAGCCACCCAGGCGCCCCTGCGCGTCCCATATTTTAAAAATAAATAAGTAAACAGAACAAGGGACAACCCCCCTATTTCTTCATATGCAGAGTTTCTTTCATCGGGGAATCCCAGTGTTTCATGCAAAGAATCTGTATTGTTGGTGGGATTATTTTGTTTTAAGGTTACCCAGCGTGTCAGGTTAAGAATTAGAGATTTGACTTCCGCAAGACTTCAGGAGAGCCGTTGTTAGGAGGCAGAGTATAGCATCACAAGTAGATGACAGAGCGCGTTGAGCTCTATAATGAGATCTCAATCCCTGGCTCGATCAGGCTGGCTTTTAACACGCCCGTCCATCCCGCTTTTACTCCTGGAAGAATTTCCAACATCTGGCCAGGGTGTTTTTGCTCGACTGTATAAAGTGTTACATCAACTGTAAGTCTGTTAACCCATCTCGGCCACTTCCAAAACCTTTACAGAGCGCTCATTTGTTATATTTCTAATAAACCCCTCTGCACGGTCTTTTGGAATCTCCTAATGGAGTATGTTGAATATCCGTGATTGTTTCCCATTTGTTTGTGTCTCTTCCATTCTGTCAACACCACACAGCCTGTCGGTTGCAAATGGTTTCTGAGTCTGTGTCTCATGCTGTTCTCTGAATGTTTCCGAAAAGACCGAAGAATGTCAGTAATCAATAAGCGTACGGGAAAGATGGCTAGGAAAAATGTAACACTTAACACAGTGAAATGAGAAACCAGCTATTATGAGGATTTAAAGGAAAATCCCTTTTATTTTTATTTTTTATTTTTTTTATTTTTTTTAATTTTTTTTTCAACGTTTATTTATTTTTGGGACAGAGAGAGACAGAGCATGAACGGGGGAGGGGCAGAGAGAGAGGGAGACACAGAATCAGAAACAGGCTCCAGGCTCTGAGCCATCAGCCCAGAGCCCGATGCGGGGCTCGAACTCACGGACCGCGAGATCGTGACCTGGCTGAAGTCGGACGCCCAACCGACTGCGCCACCCAGGCGCCCCGGAAAATCCCTTTTAAAAAAAAAAAATGGTCATCAGCAAAATGAAGTTTATTTCTTACTCTTTAAACCTGTGCTCAGCAAAAACAGGGTTAACAAAATTTCTCCTCAATAGTGAGTGTGCTTTTCTGAGAGTGAACTCACACATATACAGACTGGAAACATCAGTAAGGAAATAGAAACATACTTCTGCCTCCCTCAACTTTTGCTCAGTCTGCTCTTAGCAAAGGTCACATTTGATGACCCTTCCTTCAGGAAGTCGCAGTCAACAAAAAGGAAAGAAAAACAAAAAGGAAACTCATGACCGGAGTACGATTAGGAAGTTCAAAAATAAAAAGCAATCTGAGGTTTGGGGAAGCAAATTTCATTTTATTCTTTTTAATTTATTATTTTTTAACAAATTGGATGTAAAGCAACCCTACCAGGGAAGGGTGTTGTAAGCCGTTGGCATCTGCAAGAAAATTCTGTTTCACTGAACATTTCTACAGCAGGTCATCTGAGCACGATTAGCCATGTTTTCATCTTTCCGTAAGAAAAATGAAACTAGAAAGTATGGTCTCGGTTTGCCATTTACAGATGTAATTTTATTGCCTTAAATTAAGATTTCTTTTCCTGGGCTGGGCAAGGGTAAATCTAAAACATGGACATATTTTCCCCCACGTTTGAGAGCTTGTTGCATGGAAAAATCCCATCAAAGTGGATGAAAAGATTTGGAAAGTCCTTACCGACCGACCGTTTGTCAGATGTTGCGGTTTTATGGTTACTGTAATTTTTTATTTATTTTATCTTGTTCTCTTGCTGATTATTGGCAGACTCAGTCTTTCTGTTTTCACAAAGAACTCATGAAGAGGACGATAGGGAAGCCCACGTATGCTTTTGAAGCTAGGGACTATGTTGTAAGTTTCCATGTGTCGGCCAGGTCATACAGTCACAGCACAGGCACTAACCCCTATGACAGCACCAAGACTGGGGACCCAGCAATGAAATTCTCCACTGGCGGACCTGGACACAGAAAAAGCCTAATTCTCAGTATAAATGCAATCCCAAGCTCCTTCATCCGGAAAGCTTGGGGCGGGAGGGGGGAAGAGAACCCAACTTCCCAATAACCACCAAACTGCCTAAAAATGCCAGTGAGCTGAGCTCGGCCGTCTGAGACGATGTCCCTGGGTATATGCCTTTACGGCAGAGTCTCACCCATAAGCGCAGCCACAGAGCGTGGTCCCAGGAGAAGGACACTCTTAACGGACGGCAGTTGCGTAGCAAGAGGGCTCACGATCCGGTCTGAAACAGGTGGATCCGTAAGGGGGTTATGCAGTAAAGCTTGGAGAGCCAGAACGACCACTGAAGCAACTAGCAAGGTCATAGAGTAGTACCGTGACTTTCCATGGACCTTAAACACATTTACTCGTGTATTTATTTTCACCGTCCCCTTTCTTCGTACTTGAGGTTAGTACCTGCGGCTGCAGAATAACACATGGACCCGCTGGCTCTGTGTTCCCTCATGTGTTATTGACACGTGTGGCTTCCAAGGCTCCATACTTGTTGCCTGAAACTGACAGCTTCTTAGTTCCCCGGGTGTCTCGCAGCGCACTTAATGCCGTCTTTGAAGACGATTCTCTTAAATGATTCGGTTTCTAATGTTAAATGATCTAACTGGCTGGCTTACAACTCACGACCGAAAACCAGTTTATGATAATCGTTACAAGAATACACGGCACCGTGCTGGTGCTTTATGTAGATTACCCATCACGGTCCGCTTTGGAAAATCGAATTTTGTCTTGAAAACTCAGTATTTTCCTATTGGTGCTCGGATTTGTTTCCAGTCCTCATGATTCGTTTTCATTATGAAGTGGTGATATTCCCGTGCCATGAGGTTGGATGTTAGAATTCTTCTTTTGGGATGCTTAAGGAAGAATACATAACTTGCATACATATATAACTGACCGAAGTAGCCGAATAGAGAGCAGGTAACGTATGAAGTTCAAATGCCGGTTCTTTGAATTAGCAGCATTGAAGACGATAACGTGTGAGGAGACATCTGTAGGTGGTAGTGTGCTTTCTAGGGAAGATATTCGCAAAGTTTTCTGCTGTGCACCCGGTGTTGTCTGTAAAGAACCCAAGTCGTGACAAACTGATCTGTGCTAAAGCTCACAGGAGGGGCGCACAAGACAGTCGCGAGTGTGCCTGTGTGTACCGTGTTCTCCCAAAAGTTTTGTCCGACCACTTCTTTCCTTCAAAGTCTTTCTTTTTCCCCCATAAGGGCAATGTCTTTAAAAGCTTCCTGCCTATTTAAAAAGAAGCGTCCATTTTGAGTTAATCTTAAGAATAAGATTTTTTAAATCTGGCTAAGGAATTTTAACACCCTCCCCACTCGCCACTTAAAATCAAAGGGCCCTTTCTTCGGTGCTTTGTCCCCAACATATTTTTGATCCTACTACAGCTGCCGGAACTTTTAGGATTGACGACAGCTAAGCAAAAAGGCACTGCGCTCTCAAAACACTGCTTTATAGCCATAGAGCATGTCCCCCCCTGTTAACGAAGAACCGAATGTTTCGTTTGCTAATTCGGAGATGCCTCGTCATCTGTTTTGTGTCGAGGAATCACTGTACCTTTGCTAATCTGCAGGCCCAGCAGAATTGCACCTGCTGTGTCCTGATAATTCCCAGGAAATCCACAGCAAGGAGTAAGTGTCCCTCGGTAGTTGAGAAGGTTACCTAAAGGTAACCTTCAGAGCCGCTGCTGTTGTTAATTCCCCAAGTGCTATGTAACCCCCGGGGGTAGGGCTCAGAGTGGATGGAGAGCCTCTGAATACACCTTCCATGGGGCAGGAGGTGGTGAGCGGTGCTCAGGTGGGAGAGAACAACGTCCTGCCTCCAGCCTGGTGCAGAGAGGCTTTCTGGCTCCCGTGGGTGGTTTCCTCGAGCAACTTCCGGTCCCTGGTCCCCCGTTCACCCACTCGAGAGTGGGTGCCTTTAAGAAATGCCAGTGATTAGAGTTCCTTAGGATAGATTACTTGTACCTTATGGAAGTCCTTGCTCTCCAGACCCCCGCTGTGAGTAAAACATTCCATGTGAAATTTGGTGAACAAAAGCCTACCTGATTATTCTTGGCTTTTACTATCCAAATGTGTTACCCACTGCAAACATAATTTAGCTCCTCTCCAGGCTGATGTGACCGATACAGAACTGTGAACAGAAACTCTCCTTTTCTATCTTTATTCTTTGCTCTGGCAACGTGGCAGCTAAAAGAAGGTTTTTGGCAGGGGCCAGCCCCTCTTGTGAACGTTTGCACAGATCCGCTGCAAGCCATTTGCACAAGCGACAGGTGAATTTATGTGCTATGTTAATACGGTGGAACTGGTCGAGTTCCTCTTCTTCTGATGTGTTGTCTCTCTCTCTTTTTTTCCCGTTACCTCTTCAATTTTTACATGAAGCTTTCTCTCAAGCTGGTAAGCACAATTATTCTATGCATGTCCTGAATCTAATCAGCTTTTTTTTTTTGGTGTGTGTTTCCTTTGCGTGTGCTTTTGCTGGTGTTTTTTCATCAGACCTTTGCAAAACAAAGGTCCAAAATCTAATAGGGGCGATCTTAATCTTTTCAAGTTGCTAAGAAAATTAACGCTTAACTCCTCATTTGGTTTTCTTTCTTATTGGGGCCTTAAGAGGATGGCAAATATTCATAAGCTTTATTTAAGTGCGAGCATGAATAGAAATACTCAATACCGGGGGGGTGGCTCATGGGATCATTTGGAGTCAAGGTAAATTTCGCAGCTGGAGGGTGCTCCTCCCTGGGGGCCCCAGAAGCAGATGGAAGATGTGGGGAGCCTGAAGGACACGTGCAGGGATGGTGCTGGTCTCAAACTCAGGTCCGAGGCAGCCTGCGAGAATCGCAAGCCACGGAATCTTTAAAGTTGCTACATAAATACGTGGGTGCCTTGTGCATAGCTGATTTAAGAAATCACAAGGTGACTTTACAGACACCGGAAGGAGCCTCCTAAGCCTTTCTAAAATCATGTACTTAGTGTTCTGTGTTGTTCCTACCTACTTGCATATAGCCCTAGTAAACAGACTAATCATTATTAAATTTCTTAAAAGAAACTCTTAACTCTATAACCCTTAACTGTACTTCAGTTACGTGTAACTTACATAGTAGTCTCAACGGCACAGCTGAGAATTTCCTAAAATTATGGACCATGATAAATTGCAACAATTCAACCAGGGATGAAGTCAGCACTTTCTGCAATTCTGTTGATAATGCAGGATAAGAGTTTCTGGTTATCCTGATGTACACATTTGTACGCGTGCATGTATATGTATATGTGCGCATATACAGAATTTTTTCCACCTGACTCAGTGTTTGGCAACCAACTCAACCCTAAAGAAAAGGAATATTTTAGGGGTGCCTGGCTGGCTCAGTCCATAGAGCATGTGACTCTTGATCTCAGAGTCATGAGTTCAAGCTCCGCGTTGGGCGTGGAGCGTACTTAAACACACGCATGTGCGCACACACACATTTATTTGATCCTAGCATTCATTTATCAAGAATTAAGCCCAAATGGACTCACTGGTGAATTCTACCAAATATTTCGGGAAGAAATTCTATCAGTTCTCTATAATTTCTTTCAGAAGATCGAAGCAGAGGAAATACTTCCTAACTCATTCTCTGGGGCCAGCATTACCCTAACGCCAAAACCAGAAGAGGGAAGGAAGGAAGGAAGGAAGGAAGGAAGGAAGGAAGGAAGGAAGGAAGGAAGGAAATGAATATTTTATTAAATTGAACATTTCTTAAACTCAAAATCCAAGACGAGTCCCTAATTAAAGTGTCTACAAGAAGGAAACATTCTAAATGTTTCAATGAACTGCGTTCTACGACAGCAACAATTGGGGAGAAATTAGATCAATTAAGTAGGTGTCTCTGAGATACTGGGGTTCCTTCCTTGCCCTTTCTGTGTTTCTTCTTCTGCTGAGGTGCTGGCAACAAAGGATAATATCACTAATAATATTAGGCGGTCTTTCTGTCTGAGATAGAAATCATTTTACCCACCCGGTATTGAATTGTTGCTTTATATCGTTACGTAGACGCTAATAAAGAAGTGGAGCGTTGCCCAGAGACGCCTGGGGTGGAAACAAGCGTAAAATCCCAGGAAGCAGCTCGTGCTTGGGCTGTTTGTGGGGAAATGCTCCGGAGCAAGTGTTTGATTCCAGAAATGGGTAAAACCAGTTCTTCCTAGAGCCACAGCCACTTAAAATAACCATATGTGCTTTGACGCCCCCCCCTCCTGAAACACCAGTGCCACCTGGTGTGGCCAGTCTCTTTGTAAACCAGGCCATTCCAAAGACTTCAGAAAGTCTGTTCTGACCCGAAGCTAGAAATATAAATTCCTTCATGGAATTAAAAAGCTAATTGGACACAATGGCCTTTTAAGGCACTTCCAGACACCATACGCTCCTTTGGATGTAGAGGTTACGACCTGCATCTCCAAGGGCGACATGAGGATTGTTTGAGGCATAGTGCATGAGATTACGTTCTATTTTTTAGTATTTTTATTTATTTTTTGAGAGAGAGAGCATGCAAGCAGGGGAGGGGCAGAGAGAGGGGGGGGACAGAGGATCCGAAGCAGGCTCCAGGCTCTGAGCCATCAGCACAGAGCCCGATGCAGGGCTCGAACCCATGAACTGTGAGATCATAACCCGAGCCAAAGTCGGGGCACTTAACTGACTGAACCACCCAGGTGCCCCGAGATTAGTTTCTAAACAGCAATACAGAAACACGGAATATCTATCAAAAGGGCCCTAATTCATTCCTTCATCATTTAACCGTTTTTAGTTTTCGTAAATGATTAAAATTAACTTTTTTGTTGTTGAGGGCATCTGTTCGTAAGTCCTAAGTACTGTCCGTTTTACTGAAGATCCCTTTGCAGCTGTGGATACACCAGACGCAAATCTTACACCTGTTCTCCATCTAGACCTGTGCCGTCCCGTACGGTAGCCACACTTCACACGTGGCTCTTCAGATTTCAGTTCAGGAAAATGAAACGAAAACTTAAAAGCAGTCCCACGGTTGCACTAGCCGCGGTTCAGATGTGCAGCAGCTCTGTGCGGCTACCGCACTGACCAGTGCAGACATGAGACCTTTACCATCCTTTGTAGAAAAAAAATTCTTCGGGACTCCCAGCACACAGTCAGGCTTAGTGAAGATCCGTGAATCGACATCGACCGCTCGCTAGGTTTCCTGGCGGCCGTGACTGGTTGCAGCACCGAAAAGCAACACAGAACAAAAAGCCCCTCCATTCCAGAAAGCATGCTGATCTGTTTTGAGTCAACCCAGCACGAGGACAGAGTCTCGTGCTCGCAGGCCCGGCGACTGAATTCAGCCAAGTGAAAAAGCACACGATTGAGGGTTTCAAGTGTTACCGACACGGTAGTAGCACGTGGGAAAGAAAAAACACGTCTGATTTCTTTCTGGTTCATCTTCGCTCTCGAGGCGATTGGACTGGCTCGGTTTGCCGTCAGGGAAATAGCCACTTCTGTTCTGGTTTCACTCCAATCTTCTCTCTCTTACACGCACACACACACACGCGCACAAGTCTGAGAGCATCAGCTGAGAGGTCTGTGCGTGGCCTTCGGGTAAACCCTGCTGAATCACACGCTTCCAGCCCAGCAACCTGGCATCCTGTCACAGGCAGCCAAGGAGCCTTGGTCACAAAGCACCATATTAGCTGCTTGGCAAATTCAGCTTGATTTCGGAATTCTGTTACCCGGGTCCCCTCTTTTCCACCCCCTCCCGAGCCAGTCTGGTCTTTGTTTAATTGGCTCAAAAGCAAGGCTGGGGGGGGG